AGACAGATATTGGGGTTTAAGCTGATGGTCAGAGAAGCAAAGCAGCTGGCCACTAGCTCTTATCTCTACAACTGAAAAGACTGTCCTGTCCTGTCCTCAGTGTGTCTGAAGACTAAATCTCTAAGACTGACTTTGCTTCTTCCTTTGATACCTCTCAAATCCTGGGATTAAAGGCATGTGATCCCAAGTGCTGAGATCACCTTTGTCTGCCTCTGGTTGCTGAGTCCTGGGATTAAAAATGTGTGCTACCCCTGCCTGGCTCTATGTCTTGTGTCTAGCTTTGCTTTCTGTACACTCAGGTAAGCTTTAATAAATCATAAGTAACATATCACCATATGTGGTGTGTGTGCATGTATGTGGCATGTGTTTGTGTGTATTGTGTGTATGGATGTGATATGTGTGTGTGGTACGTGTTTGTGTGTGGTGTGTGTATGTGTGTGTAATATGTGTTTGTGGGGTGTGTGTGTGTGTGTGTATACACTTATGCAGGGTACATGTGGAGGCCAGAAAACAACTTTATGGAGTCTGCTCTCTCCTTCCACCTTTAGTAGGTTCCAGGGATTGAACTCAGGTTATCAGGCTTGCATAGCAACTGCTTTACTCATGAGCCATCTTGTCAGCAGAGGGGATGAATTAAAGTCACTCTGATAATAATCTTTCAGTAATAACCAATATTCCAATCATGGCTAAGCTCTACCTAAACCAATGTAAGTAGTTACATTCTGAAGAATTTAAAACCACGAATAATGAGACAGCTGGAATTGGGAGAGAAATAACTAAGAAGTCACTGTTTCTCAAGAACAGTAATTCTTACTTTCAGCAAGTAGGACTTTTGAGAATTCCACAGTTAGAAGGGGCTGTTGATGCCAATGACGGTTTGCCAGGTCTATAGCTGGTGGCTTTGTAGAAGCAGGAGTACAACTCAGGCCTTCTGATGTGCAGGTCTACGGGCTTTTCTCAATGTAACATTTTGAGACCATAAACAAGAAACGGAAAATCTTCTACATGAAAGGTTCTCATGTGCAAATACGTGCTCCCCAGCATGTCTTCACAGTTGAAAGAAGCTGCCGATAATAGAAGTTATATTGATGCCTACAAGTAAAGTTCAAGATTTTTTTCAAGACCACTTGCCCTATATGTAATTTCTTCCAAATCCTGAGCTGTTGGTGTCATTTCCTCAAGCAGGGTCAATTAAAGAGAGTTACATTTGTTTCCTTTCTCTGATCATTAATTGCTTTCATTTGGGAGAGAGAATACACAGGACATCTTGAATATATACAGACATACATATATACACATATTCTTTCCAAATTAGAGGATCCATGATTAATAAATTACATAAAAAGGAAATCTGCTTTGGTCTGCACCCATTTAGGTAATTAAAATGCAATTCGCTTCTTTGTACTACAGCTGGACAAGTTGGAATTGTGACGGTGAGGGATGCCCTGGTGTTCAATAGGACAAACTGATTTTACAGACGATTTGGGATTGTGACTGTAAGGGATGCCCTTGTGTTTGCTAGGACAGACTCTGATTTTGCAGATGGCTCAAAGGAGATTTTCTTCCTGAAGAGACATAGCCAGCAATAGGCAAGTGTGGGATTCAGAACCAGGCTCCTGGTTTGGGCATTGCACACTGCATAGCACATTGCTTCTCCTGTAGCACAGACTGAGACCTCACAACCCCACAAGACAGGATTAATCAGCCCGGTGATGAAAATGAAACAAAACGACCTCATAAACTCTCAATACTACTTCCTTGCTATTAGACTTCAATTTGCCAAACATTTTCTTACTTAAAAATGTGTGTCATGAGTGTGTGTGTGTGTATCAGAAATTTGAAGGTTTTAACCTTAGAAAAGCTTCTTGTGTATGTGGAAGCAAGGGAGTCCGCAGGAGCCCTAATACAAGGATATCAAATATTTATTGGAGAACACTCACGAATAGCAATAAAGGCAGAGGGCTACTGAGATCTTCTGTCCTGGGGATGCAGGAAGCTAAGAGCACCACACAAGAGAGTGAGAAAACCTCTTCTCCCATTTTATCAGTCCTCAAGCAGGAAGCACCTTAGACCACACCCAGAAGGGGCGGGCAGGTACATTGGCTGAATAAATTCCCACAACATTCTTTCTTCCCCTTGGCTTCTGCATCTCCATCTGGAAAACAATTAACACACCCATTACATAATACAAACTGAAGTATTAACACGCTAGACCCAGTGGGCTATTTAAACACCAAGGGTTCCTAATTGTACTACAGGAGATCCGCAAGATATGAGTTTAGAGATGCTGATGTTGGATGGGAAAATCTTCCATAATGTTTGGAATGAACTCCCCTGCGAGAATGTCTTGAAAGGCACTGTTTCCATCTACGAATTCTCCTCCTGGTCGTGTGTGTGTGGTGGATCATGGTGAACAGTATGAAATTAGAATTCTCAACATTTTCCTCCCATAAAACATGTCCTTTACCTCGAGCTCTTGTTTGGAATTTTGCTAAAGACTTCTGGACATATCATTAGTAAGAACAAAAAAAAAAGTTAAGTAGCTGTCCTCAGTATGGGGGTTGTCCTTATTCACTTACATGGGCTTTCTATCTTTAAAAATAACTCTACATACGTACATCTTAAAAGTAGTAAAAATAAATTTTAAAACATAGAAAACTGAGCACTTTAGTAGATCACTTTGATCTCAGTTCTTATATAAATGCTATTATTTTTCCATATGAGGCAACCATATACTTGGCTCAGCTGATGTGTTTTTATATTCTGAATGGAGTGGTGCAATAAAAAGGAATCACTCTAGGAAATTACTTCCCTATTATAATTCAATTCTGGACTTTCTTTGGCTCCTACAGTTTCTGTGTTTGCTTCACTCAACTTTAGGTGTGACAGAAAAGATGATCTCAGTTGTCCACCTCTTGCCTTTTAGAGCATTCTCTGTGTTGTGTTGGAGTCTGTTAATTGCGTTGCTGTGAACTACCACAGCCAACTTCTACCCTAGAGATGGCTGGCTGTATTTTAACAATCAGTGAAATGATACTTGCAAACAGGTTTATAATCATTAATAAAGCTTCCCGAACATTTTAAGCCCTTTAAACACACGCATCCATTATTATAATTAATTGCCTTTTGCTTAATTGCAACGTATAATAGAAATGTAAAGCCTTTAAAATACAGTTTATAAAACTTCTAATTAAATTGGGTTTCATGATGCTTATTTTGTTTTTCTGCAAGTTTCAGGTGTTGAATTATTTCTCTCTGGAGATGCTGGTGAAATTCCACCACCGATGGCTCCAGTGTGCTCTTTACAAATCCCTGAGAATATTTTTCTTTAAATTTGACAATTGCCCACTCTGGGATCCAGATGCTATGTGTGCAGTGTGATGATTTTGTTCTGCTTTGCACACATGGCCTTTTCAAACACTGTCTCCCAGGGTTGAAATTTTAAACGTCGCCTGAAAATAATAAACATAATACCTTGTAGTTTATGGCTATTTTAAGTTGGAAAAAGCACACTCCTATCTATCATATTGTTTTATTCTCAAAATTAGTCCTGTAAAGAGAGAGAAGGTATTTAGTTATTCAACAGGTTGGCTAGCATGCCTACTTCATGCTTCGTTCTCTGAAAGCCTTTAGGGATATTCATCCTTTGACATTGCTACAAGATGCTGTCATCTGTCTATAAAGTTCTCCATGTAGAACAGTGCAATGTGGTTAAATAATCGCACAACACCCAAGTAGGTTGTAATGTGTTTGGCTTCATCCATAGCTATTGTTGGCCGCAGGCTGAACATGCTGCCAGGTAGTCCAAAGAATTTAATAATTTTCCTAGGAAGACACGGATGGAAATAGTCAATACAGGTAGGTGTCCTGAGATTGAAAAACAGAGCAGGAAAAAGAGACCTAGAGCCCATTTCACAGTGCTGGCGGGAAAGCACCACTTATGATTCCATAATAGTGCCCTTTTCCCACGAAAGTGGGCTTGGTGTCCAGGAGCACTCAAGGCTGCTCAAGGAATGCTTTTGACACCATACTCACGATAGGTTGGAGAGTAGTAGAGACCTGTTTCATCAGTGTAAAAAAGTAGAACTTAGGGAATGAAAATGACTTGACTAAATAGTTCACAGAGGATGATGGCACCCCCAAAGAGTCTATGATCTTTATGAAGCAATGCTGGCTTTGGGAATCTATCTGCTTCTTTCGCTTTTGGCCTGCGCTCAGAAGGCCCCTTCAGTAGGCTGAAAGCTTTCTCTTGAAGACGGATGGAGAATGGCTGGATGAAGTGCGTATCTGTCACAGAAGAGCTATGTGCTTCAACACCATTCAAGGACACCAGGGCCCCGGGCCAGGCACACAGCACACAGCTGGGACAGATCCCCGCCTTCCAAGATGGAAACCGGTTCTCTCCCAAATTGCAGGCGTTTGTGCAAGGCCCAGCGCCGCCTCCCTGAAACCTCCTGTAGGCCTCTGCGGGCTCAAGCATCCCCCAGGCCGTCAACTGCCAGGCCTGAGCCACAGTGCCCACTGAGGGGTCTGGATCTAGGGCGAGCATCCCAGCCTCCAGCGTGTCCCGCTTCCCCGCCGCCGCCTCGTCGTCACGGCAACCAGGGAGGCGCTAACCCCACCCCCCCACCCCGCCCGGCCCCGCCCCCTCGCGCAGCCCCGGCTCAACATGGAGACCGCCAACCCGGAAGTGGCGCGCGCCGGGCGCTAGGAGCCGCGGGTTCCCCCCTCCCCCCCCACCTCAGGCCAGGCCTCGCCCCGTGCTGCCGCCGGGGATCCCCCCACCATCCTGGACGGCGGCTTCCGCCCCGCTCGCCCAGGCCTACGCCACTCTCTCGGGGGAGGAGCCGAGGCGAGGCTGCGCGGGCGGGCGGAGGGAGCCAGGCCCCGCGGCCGCCGACGGTTCGTATCAGCCGGGTCGGAGGAGGAGCCGGGCCGCACCGGGCGGAGGCCCGGCCGCAGGGGCGCCAGGCCCTGGGACGGTGGCGGCGACGCGAGGCGTCCGGCTGCGCGCGGAGGCCTGGACCGGGCGGCCAGGTGATGTGGACCCCTGTCCTTCTGCGGAAGAAAGGGACCCCCGCAGCGGCGGCCCCCGGCCGTCCGAGCCGGTCATTTTGACATCAGCCCTTAGGGACCTTGGGGCAGCCCCCCCATCTCCACCGCTCCCCCACCCCCAAGCTCGCTGAAGTGCCCTTAAGGATGCTGTGATCAGGGAACCGGGCTCTCCTTGCTTGCGGGAGGGGCACTGCCGGCGCTTTTGAACTCGGTGCAGGAAAACAAACAAACAAACAAACAAACAACATCCTCCCACCCCCCAAAAAAAAACCAAACCCGAAAAACATAACAAAATAAAACCCCAGAATGATGCTGTCCGAGCAAGCCCAAAAGTGGTTCCCAACCCACGTGCAGGTCACAGTGCTCCAAGCTAAAGACCTGAAGCCAAAAGGCAAAAGTGGCACCAATGACACATACACCATAATTCAGCTGGGCAAAGAAAAGTACTCGACTTCTGTAGCAGAGAAAACGCTGGAGCCTGTCTGGAAGGAGGAGGCCTCCTTTGAGTTGCCTGGGTTGCTCATGCAGGGCAATCCAGAGAAATACATTCTTTTTCTTATAGTGATGCACAGGTCCCTAGTGGGACTGGATAAGTTTTTAGGGCAGGTGGCAATCAATCTCAATGACATCTTTGAGGACAAACAAAGAAGGAAAACAGAGTAAGTTATATAATTTGTCTTGGATTTTGGGGCGCTTAAATATATATGGATGAACTGTTCTTGAATGTAGTATATTTGAGCCATGGGTCTTGGGAATTGCAATCGGATCCGGTTTTAAGCATTTCTATTTGCATGACTTTGAAGAAAAAGTACCTTTTCCTGTGAAATGATTTTTTTAAAGTGGAGTTATTAATGATCCATTATTTTTCCTCATTTCTGTGTGAGGTAGACACCTCTTAGAATATATCGCAGTGGATTTTAAGAAAATGAATACTTTTTATAAGAGGCCTAGAGCATGAACTAGAAAATCAGAAAATTAAATCTATGCATGTTATGGTCTGTTTGCTGAACACTGTTAAAAGGTAAATTACTAGTAAGGTCTGTCAAAAGATAAATTGCTGGTTTTAGAACTCTGTATTTCAGCATTGTAAACAGTCGGTCTTTATTTTTTTGCTTCACCAGTTTTCAGGGTCAGTACTTCTTGGTAGAGTAGAAAGTTGTTGAAAGAAAAAAAAAGTTTTGCAAGTCTGCACAAACATCACCAGTCTTGAGCCCACTGACATTTTTCCCTTTGAATTTGCAGTATAGTGGAGCTATTGTTTACTGAAGAGTGGGTTCGGCAAAGCCGGAGTGTTTAGGCCGAATTAACTGCTGTACGATTGGAGACAGTGATTAAAGTCTTGTGACGCAGTGGCTTAATGACCTCTTCAATGAAAACATGGCTTTTGAAAGAGAACTTTCAAGCCTGAGTTAGATATACTTAATTTAAGAAACCAAAATACAAATCAGCCCTAGGATGTTATGTCCCAAATTCAAACAAGTAGCTTGTTTGGAAAGGTGGGTCTCTGGCTCCAACCTTTAACGTACTTGGTTTTCTGCTCCAAAGTCATTGAGATGACTGGAGTTTCATGAGAGAAGGGTGAATGGAACTCTTTACTTTCCCCTCCAGCCCTGCTGTAAGTTTATCTACCTTCTAGAGTACTTTGTTTTACAATGATCATTTTAAGTTCATGTTAATTTCTTACATTTCAAAAATAGTGATCATTTTTTTCTTTTTTGTAAAAACCTACCTGCAGACTTCACATAATAGTAATTGCTTTTGTTTTGTTTGAATCAAGTCTTCATCTAAGATTTAGTGCGTGTAAGACAAAACACTAGAAATACAAGAAGAACAAAAGGCAAATATTCAATGAGGACATGAGAAAAAGTTTAAGTTGTGTATTTAATGGTTTTAAACTTCTTCATATTTAACAAGTAGCATTTTCTTTCTTCTGAAGGGTTCTTCATCAGATTTAAAATGAAAAGCGAATAATAGCCCGATCATTTGTCCCAAATTGTCAGTTTGGGGTGATTTAGTTTATACCCTGTAAAGTGTTTTGACTGTGAGATTTTAAGTATCTACAGCTTCAGATTTCTTACTGTGCTTTAAAACAGAACTTTTAATATTAATGATAATATACTAAAAACCTCTCAACTGTAAATTCCCCAAATTTAAGTAGGCCCAAGTGTGGATACAAAGATCCTGAGAATGAAATAGCCTTTTAAAATTTCTTGTTTTATTTCCATCTTTGGCAGCTTCGCAGTTACAATAAACTAGACCATGAACAATCTCTAATATCGTAGTCTGTCTATAAAACCAAAGAGAGCTTTTGGAGGGGAGATGCTTTGAAATGCTCTCAACAGAGCTTGCGATGTTGCTGCATACAAAGGGATTTTCATATGGTATTAAACCCTTAATATTTTTTTGTGGGTGACTAAATAGGAACTGTGTATTTGATGAGGTATCTTTATTGGTAATATTTCTAGATTTTTAATATATTTAATAGCTTCCTTTTCCAGCCCAGCTGCACATGTGGCATAGTAAGAGACAGACTTGAGCCACCAGTGTATTAAAAGAAAGGTATTTAATATTCTGCACATTGCTAAACCTTGTCAGCATATTCCCAAGGGCTTTTTGGAAAAGTGGAGTGAGTGATGAAGGCTACCATCTGATTGAGATGTCCCATGGAACTGCTGGGTGTGACACTTTGTACTTTTCGACAGTGAATAGACACATGTTTACATCTTGTCTTCTAGTTGTGTCATGAAAGGCAAAAAGTATTGTACTTAAAATTATTATTCTAACTTAATTTTCTACTTTGAATATACATATGTGTACACACACACACACACACACACACACACACACACACACACACACATTTTTCTCCCCTATGGAGAAGGGGGAAAGGCCTGAGCCAGATCCTTTGAGCAGACAGAGAAGTTTCACGTTTGCCTTCTTTTAATAGATGTCTGGGTTGGTTCTGGCATGGGATTTAAGGAAATAGCACAATGTTTAATAATAGAATGGAAAAATTGTTGATGCTGTTACAAAATATCCATTGTTTTTTTTAAGTAACCCAAGTAGGTGATATCCTTTTTCTCAATGCTCTTAAAAATTAATAATAATCAAAGTACCTGGAGTTAGGTGTGACTTGTGCATGTGTAGACTTTATGTTGTGTGTGTGTGGTGTGTGTGTGTCTATGTGTGTGTGTGTGTCTGTGTGTCTGCATTACACCTGCTTCCTGGCCTCTGGCCTCCTTATTGCCAGTCTTGTCCCATTTCTGACCACAGAGCACCAGTTGCTTGGAAATCATTCCCACATGTGTGGTAGTTTTGGAAATGGACCTGTGCCCACTGAAAATTGAACAGAAGCCATATACCATTTCAATCCAGCACTCTAGAGGTGGGAAAGAACAGGCATTAATCCAGCAACTCCCAAGTGCAGTGTCTTCATTTGTCTCTTTGAAGCCTGGGAAAACAAACATTATTTCAGGATTCTTGGAGTTCTTCTCATTAAGATCAGTTTCAAAACAGAATAGCTAAAGTTACTTGTCAGGCCTGCCCTTTAAATCAGTGTGTTTATCAGAGTTCTTTATAAGGTTTTGATTTGTTTGTTGTTGTTTTGTTTTTATACAGGGAGAAAGGAAAAATCCAGTGTATTTACACTTGTATTTAAATGCATTGTTGTTTTATTCTTTAAAACTTGCTTAGGTGTTTAGAATTTCCTACTAAAACCAAAGTGGCACAAGGCATATGCATGTTTGGAGTTGAATCTTGTTGATTTTACGAAGATGATTCTAGAAATAAAAGATAGAGTGAATTTTTAGTGTAAAGCAAGCTGTTCTCAAGGAGCTAACTCTCTTGGAGGAGAGACCCCCCCCCGTGTGCTTTCTGGTTAAATGCAGTATTCTGTAACGTGTGGCAGCCATGTGGTTAACCTTATTAACACACGCGCTTCATCAAGTAGGGACTAGCTTGTATTTTCTGCAGATGTTTTTCGTCAGCTTTAGATGTTTTCCTTATTGACGTCCATCTGACTTGGGGAAACGACTTGCCATTCTCCTTGCCTCAGTTTCTTTATCACCAGAGTAAAGGTGTTAAAGTAGATAATTCATTCTTCAAAAACTCTGAATTTTGACCACCTTTCAACCCCTTCCATTTTGGGAACCGTTGATATATTGTCTTCAACTTGGGTTTATCAACTTGTTATAAACTCCACATACATATTTTTGTTGCTTGTTTGGGGAGGGGGATACATTCTTATAAAGAGCATTCAATCATTTTTCACATAGCCTGATATTTTAGAGTATTTCTCAGGTATCACCCATCAGAAGCATTTCTCAGACCATTGAAAATGGCCCACTTTTCCAAAACCCCAAGTTAGCTCTGGGGTGTGTGGCATTGCCTCACCTGGGGGTGCTCTGTGAGCTCACGCTTGTATTGTTTGGTGGGCTCCATCCTGCAGTTCATCGCTGCCATCTCTTATTCCCATCCCTGTTTAGATGTTATATCATTGTATAACTTTTTTTCTCAGCCCAGGGTCTTAGAGTAACTCATTCCATCATAAATGTCTCTGTGTTAAGTAACTGTTTGTTTTGGCATCAGTATGGTTAAGTCCTGATTGATTGAATCATTCCAGTTCATCAAGGAAGCATGGCAGCATCTTGGAGCTGATACAGGTTGGGTATCTGCACTCTGTCCTTCCTGTGTGCCAGTCTTTGGGTCGATGTATAGAAGAAGTCCAACCGTATTTTAGCTATCCTGTTGTCAAACAGCAAGAAAAAAAAAGTAATATAAAATTAGGTCAGAGTTGCTTTGTAAAATCCATTGCACTCTACTAGAGCTGTGTTTAAATAACAGTGTGTCTTCAGAATGGGTGTCAGACTCCGTCACTAAATGATATGAAAACATTGGGGCAATATGCTGCGGGTTCAGGCTGTTTGCCCTGTAGAGTGACCACTAGTGATCCCAACAACTGGAGGATTCCTTGTGGATAAAAAATACTGTAGACAAAACCAAAACAAGTCCTGCTTCATATATAGTTCACTTACAAATTGACAGCATGATGCGAGAGAGTCCCGAAAGCTGGGGTCTGGCTTTGTTTGTAAAGTCCTTTTTACTTTGCAGAATCAGTAACTTTCTGGAAGGAGTTATTTGATATTTTTATTCTTTGAAAACTTCACAAGAAGACTTATTGTTTATCACTTCTTCCATTTTACTCATTTTTCATATTTTACTCAGGGAAAGGCTTAGATCCATTCTATATGAATATAAATATTGGTACTTTGAATTTAATGATATGTAATATTTCCACTGTTAATAAAATTCTTTTCCTATAAATCATATTTTGGGATAGGAGTTAAATATTTTATTTAAATGTCATCATTATTTGTCATTTTATGGTACTCAGAAATGATTGGAAGTGATGAATTACAGTTCCTGGCTCAGTGTCTTTGAATGTTAAACATATCCTTAGGCCATTAGTAACACTTGTCCCATATGGAAACATAATTAGCTATTGTTGATAAGGATGTTTGATGATGAGTTTTGAATTATGAGGGGAAGTTTTATCTAAAGCCCTTTACATACTCTCCTTTGGTCTGTGTCATTCTACAGAATTTAGGACCAGTTTGTTTGTTTGATATGTTTTCTTTTTAAACACTGAGTTAACCTAGAAATTTGTGGTTGACTGGTTCTTACTCAGTGTGTAGATAATGGGTAGTCACTTTACTTAAAAAGCTGCCTGGATATAACACAGCTTGCTGTTGCCATTATATGTTAAAACCAACTTTTTCTCTTCTCTTGAAGGTGGTTTAGATTAGAATCCAAACAAGGAAAGAGAATCAAAAACAGGGGTGAAATAAAGGTCAATATTCAGTTTATGAGAAACAATATGACAGCAAGTATGTTTGACTTGTCAATGAAGGATAAGACGAGATCGCCTTTTGCAAAATTAAAAGATAAGATGAAAGGGAGAAAAAATGACGGGACATTCTCTGATACATCTTCTGCAGTCATTCCAAGCACACACACGCCCGATGCCAGTACTGAGTTTTCAAGCGGTGAAACACAGATGAAATCCAAACCAAAAAAGCCTTTTCTTTTGGGTCCTCAGCGGCTCTCTTCTGCCCATTCGATGTCTGATTTAACTGGGTCCCACTTGTCTTCTGAAAAACTGAAGTCCAGTGCTGTAGGTCCAACACATCTTCTCAGTCGCCAGATAGATTCCTTTGGAGTTGTTCCAGAAAGTGGTAAGTGGCACTCAGTTCTGTTTATCCCTCCCTTGTATTTTATGTATTTGTATTTACATTATAGGCGATAATGAAATGAATCTTAGTCTTCACTCGTGGCCTGGTCTCCTTTCTTTTTTTTTTCTGTCATTTCTGCTTTTCAGAAGCTTGCAGCCAGGTTAGATTGGTAAAGTAACTTGCCTGGAAAGCAGGAGGACCTGAGTTCAATCCCCAAAACCCACATTCAAAAAGCAAGGCAGGTGGTGACGTGGTAGTACACACCAAAAAACAAAACAAGAAAAGCTGCAGCATATATCCCATCCCATCTCAGTGTTCCTAGAGAGAATGTCTCTATCCAGAGGAAAAGTCAAAGACTTGCCAACATGATCATTGTCAGCAGGTCCTTTGGGTTTACCTTATATTTTTCTCATGTGATGGTTTCTAAGCCAGTAAGATACCAATTGTCTCACAATACACTATTATTAGCCCATCTACAACACAATATCCCTTACCTAATTTTAAGATTGTTTTGATTGTTTTGAGGGTTAATATCTTTAGCTAATTGTTTTCATTCTGAAGCAGCAGAATAGTGTAATAGCGTATGTCACCCATCACCTACTAATGGGGGAAAAATATTTGTAGGAAGTCTCAAGTCTCCACACAGAAGAACACTAAGCTTTGATACTTCTAAACTGAACCAACCCGGCAGCATTGTGGACGAAGGCGAACCCTCTTTTGGAAGACAGAGTGACCCGTTTATAAATGTGACTGCTTCATTACCCCAAAAATTTGCAACACTGCCAAGAAAGAAGAATCCATTTGAAGAAAGCAGTGAGTCGTGGGAGAGCAGCATGAATTTATTTTCAAAACCAATTGAAGTAAGGAAAGAAAATAAGAGAGAGAAAAGAGAGAAAGTGAGCCTGTTTGAAAGAGTGACCGGGAAGAAAGATAGTAGAAGATCAGAGAAGCTTAACGATGGGGGATCTGATAGCCCCTGTGACTTGAAATCACCTAGTGCGTTTAATGAAAACCGGCAGGACTATTTTGATTATGAGTCAACCAATCCGTTTACAGCAAAATTCAGGGCTTCAACTATAATGCCATCTTCAAGGTAAGCTCACCAAGGAGGAGTGTGTGTGCTATTTAGGGAACCTTGTAACTGAAGGTGATAAATAGTCCTTTTAGATGCATGGATATTTTATATTCATTTAATTTTTTTTACCTAATTCTTTTCTAACAGTTCATCATAGACCTAAACATTGTTGCTTGCATATGTCCTTGGAATTGAATGTTTTGCCTTGGAAGAACAAAGTCTTCTTCCTCTTAACCCTTGTCTGCACCTATGTATGGGAGCCTGGAAGCCACCATAGATAGGTCTTGGAGAAAACAGCATAGCTTTTGATGAGACCCAGCGAGAGTGAATAAACCATGGTTATGAGTTCAATCCAGAAATGTGTTTCTAGGTACTTCCCAGGGATTAAATCATAGGCTCTTTGGGGTGCTTTAGTGAACCAATAGCAGTCAACACACTGTTCTGTATCAAAGATGGTGTATTAATGTTGTCATAATCGTTGTTAACTGTCCTTATGAAATGGCTGGTCAGAAATTCCTTTTATTCATGAATGTTTTCTGAAATCTGGTAACCCTTGGGGGTACTGTGAACACACTAACCAGAGCCCTGGGATGACAAGTGCAATCAGCTGAAGAAGATGGGAGATTTAAAGCCCTGGGTCCTTCCATGTGTACTGCTGCTTACTCCACAGCATCTTAAAGTCAGGGATTAGGGACCACAAGCAAAGATGAAGATGACCTTGAAATTTTTAAGTAATTGTGGAAGAACACATTAGAGGCAGAGTGTTTGCCATATAGTGGACACTTTCCCTCCCATTGTAAAGTCTAGAATATAGGCCTGAGCAGGAATCCTCACTTTGTAGTCCTATGACCTCTGTAGATCTCAGCATCTACATCTTTTGAGGCTAAGAAAATAATACTTTGTAGGATTTAGTGAGGGTAAATAATGCATAAAGGACATAGTACAAAGCCAGGGAAACTATAGATGGTCACTGCTTCAGGGTGAGCATCCTTGGTTTGAAACCTGACATACTTTTTTGTAGAAGTATGGCAGCAGTGTTAATGCTTTCATCATGGATGGAACTCACTTGAGTTTCAGAATTGAAACATTTGGATTTGGGCTTTTTGTATATAAAGTCTATGCATATATTCTAAAATCTCCCCACACCAAACTCTAAAGCATGTTGGGTCCCAGGAGTTTTCAGTAAGGGAAAGGTGACCTCTATCTTGATTGATGTATTATCCTGTATTGTTTTCTTTAAGATTAGTGCTTTTTGTTCTGCCCCACTACAAACAGAAGATGGAGCATCAGCAGCCCCTTGGGTAGGCCTCACTCTTGGGCCTCCCTCTCCCTTCCTCTCCCTCCTCCCTCCTTCCCCCTCCCTCCTCCATCCCTCCATCTCCCCCCTTTGTGTGTGTGTGTGTATGTGTGTGTGTGTGTGTTTTTTTTATGCTGGGTTAGAAAAAAACCTTGCACTTAAAATTGCCACAGGGAAGTGCTCATTTTTTGTTGGTTTGTTTTCTTTTATTATTAGATGGTGATTTGTTGTGGTTTTAGAAAAAAATCATTCTATGTGTATATAGATTATACTTCGGAGAAACAAATATTTATTTTTGCTATCAGTAATCAATTGAAGAGTTCACAGTGTTGATGTGAAGTTCTAACATGCTGATATTTGATGTGTTAATATTTTATCAAATCCTAAGTACAGGCATAAATAGGAGTGTCCCCCACCCCCTTTCTGAACATTTTTATTTTTTGTAGGAGATTGTTGACTACAGTTGTTCAAGATAACTTAGAAATTGGGTAATCTAATTTTACAGTGAAAAGCAAGAAAAAGTGAACTAGTTGGAAAATAATGTCTGAAAATTATGCTATCATATGAAAAAATAAGAGTCCTAAAGTCTTTAATGCCTTGGGCTTCCATGGGCTTTAATAGAGAAGATGGCCTTCGTAGATTTCAGCTTCACTTTGTTTTACTTAACACTACTTTTACCAAAATTAGGTCTGTGTTATGAATTCTATATATGAAGTATATAAGACTAGATTTTAAAAAAGGCATTTTTCTTTGTGTTTATGAGGCTATAGAAATGAGGACAGAACATACATTCCTGGAAATTTCTCTTTCTGTGTCACAGTCATCTTTCCAGTGAATTAAAACGTTTGTAGTTAATGGGTGTCTCTAGTTAAAGCACAAAACAGTTGCATATAAATGGGCTGAATAAAAAGGCTCAGTTCTGAGTTTCCAGCCAGCAGTTTAGTGTGGGTGGAATTTGAGAGGCTATTGTCAGCAGAGTGTCTAGAATTCCTCTCCTCCAGTATCATCCCTCAGCTGAATCAAGCAATATCCAGACCAGGGCTTTTGAGGCTACACAGATCATGTATTGTGAATTATTTTTCCAGTATGCAAAGTAACACTTACTTAGAGATCTGAACTTTTGTGACCCATAGTTTTGACACTACTGAGTCAATTCAAAGCACAACACATTGTCATGAAACTGGCATGTGAACTGGCACGCCTAGGATTTCAGGAGCATGGGAAGGAACTGTATCAATATCCTCTAAGTGATTAAGCATGTGACTAGCACTGGAGAATTTTCTTTATGTTCTTCCTTCTTCAGTAACTAAGAACATAACTTTTAGAAGTCAAAGGTTTTCGTTTTGTGTATGTAACATCTGCCCGAGGAAAATCCACACTGGAAACCACAAAACACACTTCATTTTGCATCTTGAAATTGTTCCTACAACCTTGTGGAAATCTGATGAGGAAGTTAGTCAGGCTGCATGCTGAGCTGAGTGGAGGGCAAGCTTCCTCCCTGATGTCCACTCTTTCAGGGTTCTTCCTGGTGACTGCTCTGCTTCCCAGAAGCCTTTCCCACTCTGCCAGAGAGAAATATTGGCTTCTAGGGCTCAGAGTTTCCTAAATCAGTCTAATCTTCTGAAGGAATAGCTTAGTCACTTTTTCCTTCCACTGTCACGAGTAATTTAAAGGCAGGGCCTGCATTTCATTCATCTTTTTTACCTTAATCTCCAGTGTACTGCTTGGTAGACAGTCCACATTAGAAATTTTGAACATACACATGGTAGTAAAACAGGTCCTAGAAATGTCCTTTTCATTCTGTCTGCCTCCTGCTTCCAGCCCAGTGTGAGTTGTGGAGATCTTATTAATAGACTTAAATGGATCCAAAAAGATTGATATGTACATTTTTACCTCAACACTATTTAAACTAGGAGAGGCAAGCAGGTGTGACAACATACACCTGCTAGCCTAGCACGCAGGAGGTTGAGGCAGCCTGGGCAACTTAATGAGATGTTATTTCATAATCAAAAAGTTTAAATAAAGAAGAACAGATATAGCTCATTGGCAAGGGTGCTTGCCTAGTGTGCGCAAGGTCCTGGGTTAAGTCCCCAGTACTAACTTAAAAAGCTGAGTTTTATACTAATATGTAAGATTTATGACATGAGCCAACATTTCTAGGGTCTATATGACAGGTAGACTAGGTTATCAACTGCAATCTCAGTGGCTTAGTGCAGGACATTCTTAGAGAATGGGGTAAATAGGTGCTCTGTGGGGGTTTAATATGGAGCTAGGCGTCTTCCTTCTTGTAGTGCTCCCATTGTTATTTACCTTCAAGGGTCAGTGAGGCACACCCGGAGAGGTGGGGGCCATCCACATAGTGTATTGTCCCATGCTAGGACTGGGGTCATGAGTTTGCATATGTCCCTTTGGCCAGAGTTCAATCAGGTTCCATCTTTACTGCAAACTGTTAAGAAGTTGGGTTTAGCTGTGTGACCAGAGGGGAATGGACTTGGCTTAGTATACAGCATTGTGCAGGTGAAAGACACTAGTTCAGTTTCTACTGAGATTGTAGATGCCAGTTAACACTTAACGTCTGTCAATCTTCCCCTGCTCATGAACATGAAAGTATAGTTATAATTCATGTCATTTCTAGGAAAATGTCAGATGGTATTGTTTGTGCTTCAGAATTGTTCCTCTTGCCTTTTGTTGGCAAAAATCTGAGGAAAGTGTTGATAAATTTTATTATCAACATATTCAAATACTAATTTGTGTTATGGCTTCTTAATTGTAAAGCAGTCCCTTTCTATACCAGCAAAACATCATTTTTAAAGAGCAGATATGTCTTTGGGGTTGCGAGTTTTTAAAAGGCTGTTTACAATAATTGTTTTTTAAAAACATTATAAATGATGTGAATAGTGGAAATGGGCAAATATGTTCACACAATCAGTGTTGTTTTTCAGATGAGTCTTGTCTCACTGTGTGTCACAGGATGGGCTGCACTTGAGCTCCTCCTTCCTCAGCCTTCCAAGCGTGGAGGCTTCAGCTGAGCACCTCCATAGCCACCGCTTGGTTGTGTGTTCTGCACTTGAGTTTTGAGCATGCGACTGTTGTGGCTCTGTACAGAGGCAGTGTGAGAGCTGTGTAGTACATCTGCTTCCTTCTCTGTAGTTTTCTGCTTGCCCTCATTGTCTCTTCCTTGCCAAGAGTAGGGACTGACCAACGAGGCCTTGGCATCTCTGTCTTGTTGACTGTTTCTGTAAATGACATTTTGTTGGGTTACAACCATCCTCATCTTTGTGTGGGTGTTTGTTGCTAGAATGAATGAATTAAATAATATATGTCAGAAACTTATGACCTGCAGAACCAATATTTATTCTTTGGCCTTTTTTTTTTTAACTTTCATGCTTTCACTATGCAGTCCATGTTGGCCTCAAACGCCTCTTCATTGTTGGAATTACAGGTATGCACTACCACACTGGGCTTTATTCTTTGACCTTTTCCAGAAATAGTTTGCTAACATCCATACTAGCTGAGTAGAGATTAGCCTGAACCCTGGAAGGGCACGGCACCTGAAACAACCTTTACAAGAAAGATGCTCCCAGAATTAAGTGGCTAAGATGTTTCCATGCAGTCACATTTACCATTATTTATCTTTCTGAGTGAGCAGTGGATCAAAATGCCTTCTGTTCTGTTTAAGAAAACTCAGGTTAGAAATGCATAAGAAGTGTGGGTCTAAACAGAAACCCCAAACACTTGTAAATGTTAAGGTTTGTCATTTTTTAGCCTTCTCATACTACCCAACTTTTCTTCTTGCCCAGCTTCCCCACTCACCTTGGGAAGTTAATTTCCTTCGTGGGCCTCTCTGCCTCCACTCGAAAAATGGGACAGGAAGGGGTATCACAAACCCTTCTTTGTGCAATGCTAACAACACATTCTCTCCTGAGTAGGATCCTGGTGTTTACCTCCTTTGGGCTTGTTCTGATAGAGGATTTGGAATTTCCATCAGATGCTTATGTCTGGGTCTTTGGATGTTCTCTTGAGTGCCATGCTAGTTTTGTTGACTACCCCCAACCCTAGCCTCTTCTCATCTGGGCCAGTGAGAATGAGTGTTGGCTCCTGTTTCACTTTGTCTTTAAACTGTTGGATCTCCTTTCACATGAAGTATGAATCTTTTCATCAGTGTGCCTTGAAGGAAAATCAATGCTTTAAAAACTTCCCATTGATGATCAATCAGCCAGGTTTAAAACTTGCTGATCTGAATTGTATCCTTCTTGTCATACATATTCAGTTTTGACAGCTGGGAGTCAGGAGTTGAGCTGATAAACTCAGATTTCAATGGACCCTACCTAAGATAGAGAACACAGCAGGCAAGGCAGCCTGGTTAAACAGATTCACAAATGGGAGATTCCATGAGTTGGAATAGGTAAGAGGTACCTGACTGTATTGGGCATTGAGGACAAAGCTGACCCGTGACTGGTGTTTATGGGTACATAGGGTGAACCGTTTGTCAGGATACAGATGAACCCTGGCATCAGTTGTGATCAGTGACTCAAAAAGCATGCTTAGTCATTTGAGGAGATGATGTGTATACCCCATGATGTATATTTTCCTGAGGAGGTCTGAAAAATGTCAGACCTCCACCTAGGTATGGGAATTCTTTAACTCCATGGTGAAAGTTACTTCCTGTCTTATTTTAGCAAACATATAACAACAAAAACTACTTTTGTCTCTCACATCCTGGGTTGGTACTCCACTACTGAGCTATATCCTCAGCTTTCTTTTTACTTTTTACTTTGAGACAGGGTGTCATTAAGTTGCTTAGGGTGGCCTTGAGTTTACCACAGACCAAGTTGACCCTGCAGCTATGACAGTCTGCCTCAGCTTCTAGAGCTGGGATTATGGGCCTGTGCCACCAGGATGTTACCTAGAGCTTTTAAATACATAAGTAATAAAAACCTGCTTTATGTGAGGAGCTAATAAAGTCAGAGAACAAGAAATAATGCAAGCATTTTGTTTGTCTTGGAAATGTAGGCTGTCTGACGGGCACAGAAAACATGTTTTACTTCTTTCCTTTCTGCTTTATTTACAGCTCTACACACTGGGTAGCCTTTGCTCAGTCGCTGTATGATAACCTAGTAGTGAGCTTTATATTTTGTTTATGGGATTTTTCATTTGATTAGGTCATATATTTCACTTGTATTTGGTCATCAAAGAGCCTTCCCAGACTTCCTGTGTTCTTCCTAACCAATGATCTCAGGCAAAATATTTTTTAGGAAAGTATAGAAATAGTATATAAGATAAAGACATATTTGTCACTAATAGTTTGCAACTTTACTGACAGTATTCCTTTTCCTTTTGAGATCAGGTAGCTTTCCTTTCCTTTCTCCCTTCTTTCCCCAACCCCTTAACTGATCATTTCCTGTTTGTGTCACATCATTCTTTGGAACTACAAAATATTAGTTACCCAGAGTGTATGTTTAAGTGTCTAACTTCCACAGACCAAGGATCACCACGAACTGTTACATGTAGCCATTATCAGGAAGCTGTAACAGGCCTATAAAAATAGACTATTATTGTAAGGTTGCATTTGTTTATTTGAAAAAGTAAACAAGTAATCCTAAAGAAAAGGCCTTATTCATAGTTGTTACATCTTCCTTTCCAATGTCTTCTATGGACTGTGTGTGTGTGTGTGTGTGTGTGTGTGTGTGTGTGTGCGCGCGCGCGCGTGTGTTTATTTAAAGTAGTCCTTAGCATTGTAAGCCTTACTGTGTATAAGGCTTTATTTACTGTGTGTTCATATTTGTCTGAAGATGACTTGCCTATTATAGTCTATATCATCTCTGTGTCTGAAAATCTGCAGTCTCCTTGAGACTGTGAATGTCAACTTTGGATGATTTTTTTAGAGCCCTTAATCCATTAGTGGCCAGGGATTTGCAAGGTTTCCCATGTAATGGTGACTGGGAGTGAGAGGCATGGGTGTGATTAGTTCCCACAGCACTGACTGGAACTTATGTGTGATTCCCCAGAGATGACTTGAAACTTTTCTACCCTTTGTCATCCTAATACTCATTATAATGGCTCTCATTAATTGGCGCATCTCCCATTGGGTTAATTTACAGATACCATCCATGCCATCCTTTTGCTAACTCTCTAATGCAAATTGATATTTATGGTCTTTAAAATTGAAAACAAAAAATATCTGTAACAAAAAAGACAAACTTTGCTAAGTTTTCCTTCTTTATTTTTTTAAGATGAGATATTAAGATACAGAGAGATTATGTGTGAGAGACGAGGAAGCAAACACACCACAAACCCCCATAAAAAAAATACTGTAGGCTAATAAACTGATGTGAAAATTTCTCAATTTACAGCACTTGACAGGTGCTAAAAGAAAAGCATCTTTAATTTTAATGTGTTGTTAGGACCTCTTTAGAGAGACTGTACAAGTTATTAACAAGGTCCTCCGAGACAGGAGACGGGTAATTAACAAGACCTATGGAGATATAGTTTAGGTAATTAACGAGCTCTTAGGCACTGGACACAGGATAACACGTGCTGAGTCCAATAGTTAAAGAGAGCAGGTCGTTATGATATGACCAAATGAAAGGAAGAGCCTGTACCTCCTCTAGAGCTTTCTAACAGGACAGTACTAAGATTACATTCCAATGACCCTAGTATGCTAATTTTTATAAATCAATACATAACCTTTTTATTAAAGGTAGTATTTGAGGGAATTATTTCTTTGTAAAATCAAGAAACATAAGAGCTTGCTAGATGGAGGTGGATGGTCTTTGCTAATGATGGCACTGAACTGTGTAGTTAGAGGAAAATCTTTCAGAAGGACATACTTTGTATGTTTCTCGATGTTTTAAACATCATTGGTTGAGTGTGTTTTTTACTCGTGGCCTCTTGTCTAAAATTGCCTATTCTAGATTATCTTGCTCCTCTGGTGATTTTAAAATGGTCAGACTTTCACCCAGAGAAGAGACCACACTCAGGGCAGTTGGTTTTGACATCCTAGCCTAGGTTCCTTCCTTCAGCTCTCTTCTAAACCTCACGTTTGAGAGTTGCTGTTACCAGTTGCAAATACTTGGTCTGGTTATTTCCATATAGCTTTGATATTGGCCTGTAGTTTTGACTCAGAAAACTCCCAGGCAAGCGTTTTACTACAAACGTGTTGTATTCTGGTAGGTGTGTCCAACTAGTGGCCACAGGCCATATAGGCTGAGGACAGCAATAGTGTGAACCTGACACAAAACCACAAGGGTAAATGCTCTTGAGGAGTTTTTAACTGACTATGTGGTTCTTGAGCATGACCTTTGTAGATGACATCATGTCCGGATGTCAAAAGCATGGTATGCCTGGAAAGTTTAATGAGTTTCTAATGTTGCATGACCTGTCTCAGTATAGCTCTTGCAGGATATCAAGATGAATATGTTTCTGAATTTCAATTCTGGTGATCAGATGATAACTTTCTCTCCCATATTTTCCATATGAAAGAATGTGGTGGTTTAAATGAGAGTGTGTCCCATCAGCTTGGACACTTGGTCTTCAGTTGGTAACATTGTTTGGAGAAGTTAGGAGGAAGTATGTAACTGGGGGTAGGATTTGAAAGTTTAAGGGCTAGCCTTACTCCCATTTCACTTTCTTTGCTTTGTGTGCTTGTGGTTGAGCTATGAGCTCTTAGCTTCCTGCTTCTGCTGAAGGAGGCTTACTGTGATGTCTGCATGCATAAGTTGAATGTGTTTAGGCTTCGAGAGCATTTTAAGGTGGGCTGTGATGTGGTGGAATCAGTGTCTTAGTCCAGTGCTAACATGGAGTGCCTGTGGGGAAATAATGGAAAGGGGATGATTGAGGTTGGGGATAACTAGTTAGTTAGGAAGCTGTGAGCCCTGATGTGCTTTGGGTGGAGAGGTGGGGAGTGCCTTTTGAGAAACACTTCTGCACATTCTCCTACTTTTGAGTGAGACAGTGGCAAAGGGTTGGTAAGAGGAGAAAAGGAACCAGTGTAAGGATGCATCCCAAAAGTGGAAGCCAAAGGTGATGGGGTGTGTGTGTGTGTGTGTGTGTGTGTGTGTGTGTGTGTGTGTGTGTGTGTGCGGAAGGTCAACACTGGGTGTACTCTTTAATCTCTCCCCACCTTACTTTTTGCATCAGGGTCTCTCACTGAACCTAGAGCTCACCAATTTGGCTACCCTTCTATCTTTGCCTTCCTAATGATGAGGTTCAGGTGCACGTTCTGGGACTGTGCTCATCTGTTATGAGTGTGCTGTGGATCAGAACTCATTGGTTATGCTTGCATGACAAGTACTTTACCACCTGAACTGACTCCCCAGGCCATCATGTGTCTTCAATTTGACAAGATAAAACATTTTTGAAGCTATTTTGTTTCATGGAACAATGTTATGTATATGGTTTCTGAATCAGAGTTGGGGTATTAGTCTTGATGGAGAGGTTTGA